TGAACTCATTGTCATGTTCAAGAAACCAATTTGAAATGATTAGAGCTTTGTGACATGGTGGAAGTAGCCATCAGAGGATGGGTACATGGTGGCCATAAAGGGATGGACATGGTCAGAAACAATGCTCAGGTAGGCCGTGGCATTTAAACGATGCCCAATTGGCACTAAGGGGCCTAAAGTGTGCCAGGAAAACATCCCCCACACCATTACACCACCACCACCAGCCTGCACAGTGGTAACAAGGCATGATGGTTCCATGTTCTCATTCTGTTTACGCCAAATTCTGACTCTAACATCTGAATGTCTCAACAGAAATCGAGACTCATCGGACCAGGCAACATTTTTCCAGTCTTCAACTGTTCAATTTTGGTGAGCTCTTGCAAATTGTAGCCTCTTTTTCCTATTTGTAGTGGAGATGAGTGGTACCCGGTGGAGTCTTCTGCTGTTGTAGCCCATCCGCCTCAAGGTTGTGCGTGTTGTGGCTTCACAAATGCTTTGCTGCTTAACCTTGGTTGTAACGAGTGGTTATTTCAGTCACTGTTGCCCTTCTATCAGCTCGAACCAGTCTGGCCATTCTCCTCTGACCTCTGGCATCAACAAGGCATTTCCGCCCACAGAACTGCCGCTCACTGGATGTTTTTTCTTTTTCGGACCATTCTCTGTAAACCCTAGAGATGGTTGTGCGTGAAAATCCCAGTAGATTAGCAGTTTCTGAAATACTCAGACCAGCCCTTCTGGCACCAACAATCATGCCACGTTCAAAGTCACTCAAATCACCTTTCTTCCCCATACTGATGCTCGGTTTGAACTGCAGGAGATTGTCTTGACCATGTCTACATGCCTAAATGCACTGAGTTGCCGCCATGTGATTGGCTGCTTAGAAATTAAGTGTTAACGAGCAGTTGGACAGGTGTACCTAATAAAGTGGTCGGTGAGTGTAAGTGTTGTACATCATTAGATCCTGTTAAGTGTTTTTTTTGGATACTCACAACAAAAACAAAGTGTTGTGCTTTTCGCCAAATAAAGAAAAAAAAACATGATGCGAGTTCTGCGTTCTCTCTGTCAGTGAAGTCCATTCTGAAACGTGTCCGAAAATGAACTGTAACTCAGGGAATACTCAGTCAAGGCACAGGCACACAGGCATGAAGCTTGAATTCTCTTCTTTTAAATTAAGTAATTTATATAAAAAACAAATATTCTCAGTTTATGTAATCTGTATGAAAAGAGAGAGATGTCAGTCGTTTTCTTTTAAGCTCATTATAGCTCATTAAGTGTTAATGTGACCACGGAGAGTGCGCACGCTATTCAAACGCAAATAATCTGAGGCAAGCCATGCAAACGCCCACATCAGCTGGATAAAACACATCAAGTTTAATAAGAATCATTTACTTTACGTTGTCTTGTAGGGATGTAACGATTCACTCGCAACCGGTTGAAAATCAATAAAAATGTGTGACGATTCAAGTCGGTTGAAATGTTAAACGAATCGCGCTACACGTTTTAAACAGCAGAGGCGTTTACTGTATAGCCTACTGTGAAGTTGTGAACCTCGCTTTACAGGCACAATAGCAGCGAGCACACACTGGCGCGAAGCTAGCGAGTGTTTTCACTTCATTCATGGAACTTGAGCTTGTGTGAGCCAAGCTCAACTTCCATAGGAATGAACTGAAAACGCTCGGTTTGCTCCGCTCGTGCTGCGCCAGTGTGTGGCATAGACTGGTGTGCACGCGCCGTCAAACACATGGCGACGGCAAGCGTAGATGTTGACGTTGACTCAATCAAATCGGAGGTGTGGCGGCATTTTGACTTTCCGTAGACTAATAATAATCACCACCGTGAGAAGCACCAGTCACCTCCGTTTTCATGTAAAAGGCATTAATACGACAAGTGCGAGAGCCACGGAGATCACAAGGTGCATCAGTGTATTCGTGGCAACCAGGTGTTGTATTTATTTTACTATCTCTTTCTCTAAATGTGCACATGGATTTAAAAAAAAAAAAATGTATGGATGGTTATGGCATATTTTTCTAAATGTGTTTTTTTTTACTCTTGCTAGTGTAATGATACAAATTATAACAAAATTAAAATCTTAAATGTAGGGTTTTTTTGACAAATATATTTTAAATTTAAAAAGAAATGTGCATTTTTTCTGAGAAATAATAAAAGGGACACTTTTTCATTTATAATTTCTTAAATCTCACTTGTTAAAAAAATCGTGAGAAAATCGTATCATGAAACTAGTATCGTGAATCGTATTGCATCGTGAGTTGAGTGAATCGTTACATCCCTATCGTCTTGCTACATATATATATTCTACATAATTGGTTCAAAGTTAGAGTTGGAAACATCTTGAAAAAATTTGTCTTTTTCCACAAATTTTGTATGCATGCAAATTGTAAACAAAAAGAAAAACAAAAGAAATATATATATATATATATATATATATATATTTCCTTTGTCTTCGCATTCTTTGGTACCCAGTGACACACCTGTGTGAAAGGCTCATTATGCAGCTCATTATGCGGCTCATTATGCCAGTCATTGTATTCTCAGGTGTGAATCGGGGCATTAATCAGGATCATCACAATCATTCACGCCCCTCAAGGGCCCCAAAAACACCTTAGACCCCAGAGGGTTAAAGCTTCTCTCCATGAAGACTTTGCTGCTGGTTGCACTGGCCTCTATTAAGAGGGTAGGGGACCTGCAGGCCTTTTCGGTCGACGAATCATGCCTAGAGTTCGGGCCGGGTGACAACCATTTTGTACTGAGACCCCGGCCTGGCTATGTGCCCAAGGTTCCTACCACTCCCTTCAGGGACCAGGTGGTGAACCTGCAAGCGCTGCTCCTGAAGGAGGCAGACCCAGCCCTGGCTTTGCTCTGTCCTGTCCGCGCTCTGCGTCTATAAGTGGACAGAACTCAAAGTCTCAGGACCTCAGACCAGCTCTTTGTCTGTTACGGAGGCCAGCAGAAGGGAAAGGCTGTCTCCAAGCAGAGGATGGCCCACTGGATGGATTACCAAGCACAAGGCGTGCCCTGCCCGCTCAGGTTGCATGCTTACTCCACGAGAGGCGTTGCATCCTCCTGGGCACTGGCACGTGGCTCATCGTTAACAGATATCTGTAGAGCTGTGGGCTTGGCGACACCTAACACGTTCGCTAGATATTATAGCCTACATGTAGAGCCGGTCTTCTCCCGTGTTCTCACCCTAAACGGGTAGAAGCACTGACAGGTCCGGCTCTGTCGGTTTGCTGCACCCTACTGTGCACCCGTATTGCTCCAGAGTGAAAAACCTGTTGAGTCCTCCAACACCCTCAGCCCGGAAGTGGCGGAGCGTCCGGCGCCAGGCCTTTATCCGTTGAATCCTTGAGAACCGGATCTAGGCTGGGTCCCATATGTGTGACCCTGCTGGGATCCCATATGTGTATTTCTTCCACGGCTGCTCCTAAACGGAAACCCGTGTCTTTCCCTTGAGCTAAGTCACCCAGTATTCATATGCAGTGCAACCTTCGGGTTAGTCCATATGTATATCTCCACATAGCTCCTTCGGGGAAGAATGTGGGTTCCGCAGTGTTCTCCTTCTTAACATAAAGGGCATGCTTTCCCAGTGTTATCCAAGAATTTCACTGTATGGGTTATCACGGAACAACAGTGACAGATATACGTCTCCGATCGCTTGCACAGTGCAATCGCACCTGCTGCTCATTATATACCAGCGCTGCGTGGCTGATGCAAATGATTGCACGCCAATGTGCATTGGCTCATTTAGTTTTACTCGAAGTAGATTGGCCTCTCTAGCGAGATTCCTATCCGTCTGTCTCGATGTGGCGTCTCCATTCCCTCCTTCAGGGAACGAGAGTTACCATATGTAACCTAGATGTTTTCAACATTGATAATAATAAGAAATATTTCTTGAGCACCAAATCATTACATTAATGATTTCTGAAAGATCATATGATACTGAAGACTGAAGTAATGACTGCAGTAAGTCAAAGTTGCCATCACAGGAATACATTAAATTTATTTGAAAATATATTGAAATAGAAAACAGGCATTATAAACAGTAATGATATTTCATTACTATGATATATTACCATTTTTTACTGTATTTTTGATCAAATAAATGCAGCATTGGTGAGCACAAAATCTTACCAACCCACAAACTTTTGAACAGTACAATATATGTGTGTATACATAAAGAAGAAAGTATGAATACTCATTTCTTTGCCAACTTGTCAGTTAGTCCTTAACATATCATTACCATTTTGGTGTCTGCACTGCACTCATCATGGTTTGTAGAAATGTGTGTAAATAAGTGAGCATGCAATCACTGGCATTCTGCCGGCTTGTAATTATTATTTCCATTTTGTGTGTGTGTGTGTGTGTGTGTGTTTCACTTTGACTAATGATATGCTTCAGTAAATTGGTAAATCTAATGCAATTTCTGCCTCTCTCAGTGTGCTGTGACCAAAAAAGGAACATTTATGACCAAAAATCAAAGTTTTGCTCATCACTCATGGGTGCCCTTCAGTTTCAATTAGAGATATGATGTGATGTTTCATTCTCAGAAATGTTTTTAGTATATTACTGAGGGTATATTGATTGCGAGGGTTTGACATTGATCAAAGACTTGGTTTCTAGAGCATCTATGTCAGGAGAGGAAAAGACCTCACGCAAACTTAACACACACACATTGAGGGCCCATGCATGCGGTTACTATGGAAACTGCCATAACACTTCACCCTGCATATCTCACATAATTGCATGGCAAATGAGAGCAGCGAAAAGAGGGAAGGAGAGAGACGGAGTTCTGGTGTGGGTGTAGGGGTGGAACAGAAAGAACACCTGGAGGGTGAGAAAATGAAATAATGAAAAAAAAGAGAGGTCTGGGCAGGTGAAGGGAAAAGAGGAAAATGAGTGATTCATAAAAGAGTTTGTGAGAGGACATAACAGCAGGAAGGGGCAAAACGAGAAAAAGAGAGGATAAAATGGGCATTACTCACCAGTCCACAGGGGTACTGAGGCTGAGTGCAGGAATAGTGATGGGAGAATAGAGGGATGGATGAAGGTGAGGTCGGGGAGGAGGTGGTTGACGAGAGAAGAGAGAGAGAGAGACTAGCGGGGATGCCACACGCCACATGAACTCTGCTCTCCTCGACTGCGGGAATCTCGTTGAACGGTCCTGGAGTATTACCACATCTAAAGACCAACCACTGCACACATAAACACACACACAAGTAAAAAAGCGCTTCACCCACTCAATGCATAAAGGGCTTATGCAGCAGAGAAATGTCAAATTTAGAATGAATTCTTTAATATGAAGAATACTATCTCAATTATTTGGTTTTTGGCATAAAACCCACAAAATATCCATCAAATTGTTTTCAGACAACGATAGTAAATAAATACTGATATCATATTATATATATAATGCAGACTATATATATTTAGAGAGAGAGAGATATTTTTTATGTTTTAAAAAATCTCTTATGCTCACCAAGGTTGCATTTATTTGATAAAAAAAAAACAGTAAAAATAGTATAATTTTAAAATATTATAACAATTAAAAAAAACGTCTTAAAACATTTAAAAATGTAATTTATTCCTGTGATGGCAAAGCATCATTAATCCAGTCTTCAGTGTCACATGCTCCTTCAAAAATCATTCTAATATGCTGCCTGCTGCTTAAGAAACATTTCTTATTATTATCAATGTAAAAGCAGTATTTAGTGTACATATGCAGTACATTTGAATGATACTTTGCAGTTATAGACATTTCCCAACCTGTTTTCCCACGGAGGTGCACATGACCTGATACGCATGTCGAGGTGTCCTTGCTTGGGCCGGACTCAGTGCCTCCACGGTAACACTCCCTGTTGGAAGCACCTCGATGTCACTATAAAAACGGAAGGGGGCCGGGGGCCAGGGCTGAGGCCCCCCCTCGAATATAACCACACGAGATGAGCCCACTGAGAGAAGAACCTCAGACGCAAGCGACTGAGCGAAAGAAGGAGAGAACAATGTCATTGAGAGGTTAAGTGGAGTCAAAAGCTCATGATAATGTCCTTGTTAAATCTGTTGTTGTCTTTCATTAGCGTATGACTGACAAAAGGAAAAGCACTGATCCATCACACTGTCCTATTAAACTCTCATAAGTGTACCAGAGAGCTCCACTGCTCTCTATGTCCCTGACATGCTGCAGAGTCATACATCAGTGATCAGGAGCACAGTTTCACATTAATCTTCTGCTACATCCAAACAGTTCATTATCTTAATAAATAGCCACCATAGGGCTGATAAATCACCCTTTATACAGACATGACACTTACCACAAATCATACACGCGCGCACACACACACACACACACACACACAAACAGCATACTTTAAGAGGGCTGTAGGCCACCAGTGTTGTCGTCTCACTGATGTTGCATGCCTCTGTTACCACTGTGATGGTAACAACAACGTGTCCTTGTGAAAGAGCCTCCATTCGGACCCCTCCACAGAATTCAGAACCTGGAGGCAAAGATCCTAGGAAAGAGGGAGAGAGAGAGGCAGAAATGTAGAAACAGACAGAAAATATTAATGTGGTGTTCTTGTTGGTTTAAATCAGGTAGATACATTAATAGGTTAAGAAAAACCACAATAAATAATATGTGTACATGTTGTGCTACCACATTGATTTAATTTAATTAAATATTGAGTTCATTAGTTTGACAAATCTCCAACAAATCTTCAAGTGAAAACAGGAAATAATTATTTTAAAATAAATAAAAATAATTTTGGTTGGCTTTTTGAGATTGCATGTAACATCTCAGGGAGCTAAATTTAATCTGTCATGTTTCAAGTATTCAAGTATATCTAAATATAGCCTTAAAATTATCCCAGTTGGCAAATTGTTTTTGTTATATCATCATTTTCTTAAAATATTTTTTTGAATGAAAATGGGGTACAACTGTGATGTTGGTAATTTTTATTCAGGTGTAACAAATGCAGTCTCTGTTGTGAATATAAGCCCAAAATTTGACTCTAAGAATGTTCAAGTTCACAATCCAAGTGCTGGTTTCACATGCCAGACAGCTGTGCAAGTTATCGGTACGTAAATCCTCTGTCAAACACAAACACGCATACACTCCATCAACTTGATGTTTACGGGCTAATGTACTAACCGGATTACACAGAGAGAGCGCATATTGACTTTCCCAGTGCTTTAAATTAAACCAAGAGAAATGAACTAATTAATCCTATTTTAATTTGTGCGTGCAGTGGAGAGGAAATCCTAAATGGGGGGTGTCTGTGTGTGTGTGTGTGTAAGCAGTGAGGGGTCTCTGTGTGTGACTGGGAGTAGATGATCACTTATTCTTTATGTTCGATATGTCCAGAGGTAAACAATTAGAGCAGGCGGGTGAATGAAAGGGCCATCAGAGTAAGAGAATATTGAAGAAATCAGTGGAGTGTGAATGGATGAACCATGTACAATTGTAGAGATGGAGATGCACCTGACATGTGTGTAAAGATGCCGGAAGGTTCAGTGTGAACGTCCAGAGAGAGTTGAGAGCAGTCTGTGACGGCCACAAGATTTCTGTCCTCCAGTAGAGATTCTCCACATTGAGGATTTTTTGTATCGGAGAAGTTTGCCAGAGAATTTGTACTGGTGCTCCTGTGAGTGTTTGAATGTGTATCAAATACATAAGGTGTCTGAGAGCAGGTGTTTGGTGGGTCCTGAATGCCCCAAAGAGCCAAGGGAATATCTATCCTGTCCCCCACACGACAATCACCCCTCTGAGGAATTAGCTGCAACCGGTCAGGCCTTACAACCATCACCTGTATACACATAATGAGAAACATCAGACACAGGAGTTTATATATATATATATATATATATATTTGTGTGATAGTGAGTGCAAATTTTACCTTCCCGACTACTTTATGTAGGATGTTTTTGGAATCTGAAACCTGAATTTCTGCCTGGCCCCTCCTCTTTCCTGCTAGGACCACCCCTTTTACTGTAACTGTGGCAATTCCACTATTAGACACTTCCCAATTCACAGAGCCACTTCCTCCCTCCACCTGAAAACACAGTCAGTCATAGCAAAGAGTCATTATGCTCCAACATACAGTATATAGATAACAATATTGATTTTAACGGCACCTGAATTTTGTGCTGATACAGCTTATTGTTGGGTTGCCACGGAAACACAATCACAGAGGGCTGCAGGGTAAGAGGGTTGTAGATTTCGACTTCCTGTCGCACTCTGATTGGTGGGATGACAGGCCACTCTTCACCATCCTGTTACATAAGACGGTTGTCCAAGTAAAATAAAATAAATAAATAAAACTAACAGTACTCTAATGGTGGGTAAAGTACTTTATGAAAGGCAAATATTTTTCAGACAATATTACATTTTTTATATAAAAAAAAATATATATAATAATATATTATTTTTACAGTATAAATGGGACTTTTCAATTTACTAAACTGAACTATATACAGCATTTATATTTTAGAAACACGGCCCCTTACAAAAGAACCATCAAGGGGTCTGTGGAAACAAAAACTTTGAAAACGCTTGGAATAACACATGAAAGTTATTTTAAATAACTACTTTTACAATAATATAAGAGAACATGTCACAGACACACACTCTAGATAAATATCACTTTAAGAAGGATGTGAAATCCCAACCTGATGTAGCCGATACTAACCAGCTCAATAGTCAGCCAAACCAAAAAGCAGCACCACAGCGTTCGCGGTGAAGGTCTGACAGGAAAATGTACATCTGCCTAAAGGATGATTTCCCTTGGAGGCAGTTTGGAAGGTTTTCCCTTCTTTTTTTGTCCCATTAATCGAATGGATGATCCCTATAAGTTTGCGGGGATCGACAGTAAGTTGCAGAACGAAACTAATGAGCAATGTTTCCCCCGGTGCTCATTTCGCAGAACCATAACGCCTGCATGACGATCGGATAAAACTGCCCCCCTCTAAGACGCGTTTCATCTTCTGCCACCACAGTGCCTCCCGCAGATGGAACACGCTGTCTTTTCCTTTTTAAACAATGGGTTTCCCAACACACCCCATGCCTCTCTTTACACTTCACAGTGTGTGTGTGTCCTCATTTCCTGCTCTATGTCTTATCATGCCCCCTCAGGTGGGGCTCCCCTCTAGATCTGCAAACAGCTTGTGCCATTTACTCCAATAAATGCACTTTTGTGAAATAACCCTGACTGAACCCCTCAAACTGACCAATGAACTGAACAAAATCCCAGAAGTAGGATTTTGACATACTGATGACATTGGTATTGTCTAATTAAACCCATGACAATACCCAACAGGGTATCAGTAAAACCATTTTTCAGGGTTCTGGTAATGCAGTAGAGTAAACATTGATATTGATGTCTATGTGAAAGTATATAACCATCCATGTACACATTCAGGTTGCTCACTGATGACAAAAAGACAATTGGCTAAGATTTATCCCCCTTAGTTACTGTTGCTTGCTCAGAAAATGTTTGCAGAACATCCCACAGGAATGAACTGGAGTTAGACATAAAAAACACAAGTCTTGTATTCTGTATTGTAAAATTGTGTTCAAACCTATAACAACGCAAAGTAATTCTATAGACATACACTACAGTTCAAAAGTTTGAGGTCAAGTAAATTATTTTTTTATATACTACGGGGCTGTTAAATGCTTGATTCTGATTCGTTTATGAACGTTTTAAAGTGTGCAATTATTTTTCAGTAAACGCACAGCTGAAGTAGTTCCAGGAAGGTCACATTACAGCTCAATTTCACTTCAGCAAATTACTTCACTTATTTCAAAGGCTTATTTCAAATTGCCTACAACAGCAAAAGACATTGACAAAGCAAATAAATATAACAAATAATAGGATGAAAATGACAAACTATTCCTATGTTTTTACCACGAAACTACGTTTTGTTACCTATGAAGAGCACGCACTTTTTCTCCCGCACTGTCTCCCATACAAACACACACACATACAGACACACACACACGGAAACTTTATCAATACAATAGTTTCGGAACTGAAAAGCGACTGATATTTCTCAGTAGAGAGGTGGTAACATCGTGGAAGAAGGTAAACTTCGCTATTAAAGGACAAGTTCGGTATTTTACACTTAAAGCCCTGTTTTAAGATCGTTTCTGATGAAATAGAACGGTTAAGATTGAAATTTGGACACATGCTGCTGGCCCGAGAATTTTCGGTTTCTGTGGTTGAAAACAGAATCCGAATCCGAAAATACCGAAATTGTCCTTTAAGTAGAGATGCTGCTCCCGATCACAACAGACTGTAAAAAAAAAAAAAAACGTTTTTTTGGATGCATGTAAAAATAGCATACCTTTAAAATAGCACATTAGGGGCACTTTAACTTTTTCCATAAGTGACCATCGCAAAAGGAAGGAAAGAAGAACAAGCTATTACATTTAGAAGATTACAAAAACAAATGATTTCTTTCCTTGGAATAACGTGCACCGATCATTTGTCAAATCTTTGTATATATGTGTGTGAGTATGTTACCTCAGAGACGATGCTATAAAGTGAGGCCTGTATTAAAGTCTTTCCTTTCATGATGGTCTGCAGGAAATGGCAGGATGGATCAGACAAAGACTCGAGTGTCACTAACCCCTCAGTCTCCTCCACAGCAATCACCACATTCTGCACAGGGTTAAAGTTCAGACGTTATGCTCCTGTCAAGAGATGCAGTGGAGCAAACAGTGCAGAAACTATGAAGCACAACCTGTGACAGGTGAACCACATGGCCCTTGCTGTCATGGATACGGACAGTCAAATAATACTGCCGCCCTGTCTCCAACACCCACCTGTCCTCTTCCTCCTCAACACTCAATGCTGAAACACACAGACAAATGCAAATAAACATAAACTCTCATACGGGTGTGTAACTCTCATAATATGTGTAACTCACTCATATAGCTGGGCTTCACCACATATACAGAAGTGCGAGGGAGTTGGGACATTATTTCAGGGGGCAGATCTGAGTCACAATTGAGCTTGGAACCATAACAATATACTCATATGCTCTTCAATAGAATGTTTCAGTGAAAAACACAGTTGTGTCGGATACTGTTGTGTTCAACTGATAGTGTCGCATGACCCGGCTTGAGGGCGGTGACTGTAGCTGTTTCACGCTCAACACAGATGATGTCATGATGGTACATTCTGCCCCTGCATTCATCCACAGCCAGGCCGTATCCCTCCTCAGAGAGAGTGACCTCTACAAACAGACAGGACAGTGAGTGATTAGATGCAGGTGTAAAAAGTGTCACATATCTCTCTTGACATATGCAAAGATGTGTTCATGTGATGCAATATAATTATCTAGAAGTGTGAAGTCATGTGGTTAGGGTGTTAAAGTGTTAACATGCAGTTTAAATGCCATATTGGCATAAGCATACAAAAGCCACTGGCATATTGGTAATCTCAGGTGTGTGTTTATGTGAAAAGGTGTTGAGGACACTTGTAAAATGAGATTCCTGCGTTCAGTTGGCTTTAGAGGAAAGCTCAACACAGTCCAGAGCTTAACCAGTGCTTGAATAACAAACATCATGCAAATATTTTTAACATTTTTCTGTCGAGTTGATTCCTGAACTTTAGTATCAAGTTTTACAAGCACAATATTGTATTTGAATCAGTATGTCATGATAAAAAGACCACCATTGCTGGTTTGGGATGCTGATATGCTTGTGTCCCTATTGGAGGGAGATGGATTGCTTTTTTATGACCAGCAAGCTGCCCTTGGTCAATCAGTTTCACCAGCTTCATCAGCATTTTTCTGTTAGTAAACAACATGGCTATGATGGTTCACCAGCTAAACCAGCACCAAAACAGCATAAACCACATTTTATTTGTACCAGTCTCTCCTCCTTGCTCTGTTTTCCACAGACTGTATCTGATTGTGGATCCCTGTAGCAGGTATGTATCTCCAGCTGGACTCAGGTGTAGTCTGTCTATCACAAACAAAGTCACACTGGCTGCTTCTACATGCTGAACACCCACCCATTCACACACACACACACACACACACACACACACACACACACACACACACACACATTAGAATATATTATCATTATCATCATTATATTTGATCAGCCCATACATTACAAAACAATTTCTACATGTTTTGTTATCTATGGATAACGTGTCTCTAGGGATGCAAAATATGTCAGTTTTATTTCTAGTATGCTTTATTTATTTATTAATTTTTAGGGAATATAGTATAGAATTTTAATATTGGCCATTAAATGGTTACCAGCCATAACTGGCTTATGTTCATCTGTCATAATTTTAAAATCTACCTATAGTGTTATATGTGCTTTCATACCATATGTTCAGAGTGTAGAAAAGAAGCTTTTATAAGTGCTGAGCCACTGTGAATCCCGTACAGCAGGACACTCTCACCCCTCTGACCAACCTCCTCTAGAGACAGGATATGAGGTGGGGGAACGTACCCGGCATCGTGGTGCCGCACAAACCTATGTTAATCACAGAAAACAAGACGTGCTTTATGCTGATGTGTTTTCCCCATCTCGCTCTCTCTCTCTCTCTCTTCACTTTAAGATCCTTGTTCACCTCACTGCCTGTCTTGCATCAGACTCCGTTGCCAGCCGCCAATTAAATTTCAAACCAGCCAGACAGCTAAAAGTATTTCCTGTGGATCAGGCCAAGAACAGAGCACAGTCATAACCTTCTCATTCTCAATGAAATGCATCTTCACAGTGTCCAAGGGAAATTTGTGAAATGAAAAGTACCTTCAGAGTCAAATGCCTGGACAGATAACTGCAGTGGGGGGTCGTCGGTAAAAAGCTGTCGAGCAGTCGTGACGATCTTAATCCTTTCAATCCGATCAATGATGACATCACAGCGCAAAATGTGACCTGTCACTAAAATGGGAATGGGTAAAGTCACACTTTTGAACCCTTCATGTTCTGTTTTGGATCCTAAACATAAAAAAGTCTCATTTTCAACTAAAATTACCCTTATGTTGTCCCAAACCTGTATGAATTTCTTTCTTCTGTGGAACATATACAATAAGAGGATATTTTGAAGTTGATTATTTGATATAAGTATTATTCATCGGAATTATCCACACACACACACAAATTATAGAGTGCTGGGATACACTCAAATGGCCAGTTTGGCATGTCCAATCCACCTAACATGCATGTCTTTGCACTGTTTGGGGGAAACCGGAGCACGCAGAGAAAACCCAAGCTGACACGGGGAGAACATGCAAACTCCACATGGAAAGGAGCAGGGGCTCAAACCAGGCAACTTCTTGCTGTGAGGCGACAGTGCTACCCACTGAGCCATATAAAGAGACATTTTTTGTCCATACAAAGTTCTGTCATGATGGCGCAGGCTGCTAGGTCATTTTTCAAATTTCAAATGCTGGTCATCATTTTCTGTAGCAGTTGCAGTGCGCTTTCAGAAACATCCACCTTCCCCAGCTCCACCTGTTTAGATCTGCTATGGGTAATTCATGTATGCTGTTTTGTACAGCAGCAGCATGTCTTACTTGCTCACAGCAGCGTTTTGTGTATGTATTGGCAGTAGCAATCCCGTCCTTGCTCTGAAGCAGCAAAAAGCAGCAACAGCAGCAGCGTAGCAGATCTATCCCGCCAAACATATCAACATTGTCATATCCATAACCATGCCAAACACTCAAGAGAGTTGTCATGACAGAAATACAATGAAAGTCAATGGGAACCAAAACTGTTTGGTTACCAACATTCTTCAAAAATATTTTATGTTTCACAGAAGAAATAAAATCTTACAGGTTTGGAACGACATGAGGGTGAATAAATCATGACAGAATTTTCATTTTTAGGTGGACTATCCTTTAAATAGATTGAGTACTCTAATGAGATTTAAATGGTGTGCACTGCATTTTAATTCAAGCAGTCAGTGAGCCAAAGAGTGAGCAGGCTGACTGCATTCAGCATTTATTTGTCAATTAAAATGACGGTTAATTTCATATGGAAAATGGCTTCATGATTCATAAACTGCTCATGAAAAAATAACCTACTGCTGTAATGGCTCTGTATGTCCTTCTGTAGAAAGAACATGCATGTCTATTTATTACTGTCTCCTTCTCTCGCTCACCAGGGTCTTGTGCTTGGACCACAGTACGGATAGGGACAGCCTGGGGCGAGGACAGAGCTGACACCAAGCACTGCTGACTGCAGGAAGAGAGGGGCAGCGGAGCCGGAGGGCTGAGTGCAGAGAGAGGATGCACCCTGACAGTCTCAGGCTTAGAGGACACCCTAAAGTCAGACAGACAGCAATAGAGTAGGACACATGACTGCAAGTAAAGCACGCTATTGTCGATATTATTCTTTTCATACTTACTTTTCTGAAAATAATTCAGGCATGTTTCTTTTCAAAAATGTCTTAAATGTAAAAATGTCATGATATGAAACTCTGACACCGACTCAATGAGTTTAGAGCAAAATGAGGCTACAAAACTGTATTAAGGAATTATTTTGGATCAAGAAAATATAATCATAATTACTTAAAATTATACATATAAAAACAAGACTAGTGTTTTTGATGTTAACTCACAGCAGGTGCAACATGGAAAATGTCTTCCTGATGAAGAATGACTTTGATAATTACACTACAGGTAATTAGGGCAAACAGTGCTTTTATTTTAGTTAAAATTATTATGTTAGTTATTTTAAATTGTAAAAATATTTCACAATATTACTATTTTCACTGTATTTTTGATTAAATAAATGCAGCCTTGGTGAGCAAAAGAGACTTCTTTGAAAAACATTTTAAAATCAACTCGATTACAAACTTTTGAATGGTACTGTTAGTGTTTATAATGTAATGCCATCATTCTGATACAATGAAGAGGAAATGGAAAAATTACATGTGTTAAGAACATTATAGTGATCATTCCTCATAGCATATAATTTCACATAAAAACAATTAATAAAATAAAAATAAACAGGTAAAGTTGTGGGACGTTTCATCTCATGTCTAATAAGTGAGGCAATCAAATTCCAGTCTAACTTAAGTTATTTTGATACGTGTCGTACACATTATAATTGCAAATTGCACTCTATTTTCTTTATCAGACTATTTATCTTTATTCTTCCATTTATAAATGGAAAGGCCCGAGTGAACCATTAGTGTGGTCCCTCAGTCAATCACTCTCTCTTTCCCCTTTTCTCCCTCAATCTATTCAGGCTTTCACACTATTACCACACCAAAACAGCACATTACTCTAACCAATTTTAAGTTTTTAACATTCTTCTTGCATTTGCATACATTGGTAGGCCAATTCTTCAGGAAATGCATACTACTGATTTGCAGGGCAGTAAAGGGGCAAACCAAACTTCACCCTGGAGATAATGTCATAACAAGATTGTTTGAATTTTGTTATTCAGAAAAGAGAAAAGAACTGATTAAATTAATTACTTTTCAGACATGACAGCTCGTAATGAGACAGAAAGGCATGTTAAGCTGAGTATGCTCCACAGCCCCTGTCACTCACCATTTGTAGCATCCTCTCTGTGCTGTCAGTGTGATGTTCACAGGCACATGAACGCTGAGAGGTAACAGCAGCTTGGGAACGTTCAGTTTAGTCGACTTACTGAGTGCAATCAATGAGCTCATTAGCAGAATCACCCAAACTGCTCTTTCCATCATAGGCATGTTGATATTGCAGCTCTCAAAACCAACTACAATACACAACTGAATACTGCTGGTGGCTAAACAATTATTGTGACATCATTTTCAAAGCAAGACACGAGCATAAATTGCACACAAGTTAATCTCATGTGTAAGAGCTACATTTAGGGTTATTACGCAAGGCGCTGGTAAACGGCACTAGTCGTTACATTACACTTGTCGATGTTGATTTTTGAAATAATGTAACGTTAGGCTCTTGATTGTAATCATCGTGTTCTGTTTAAACATGACCCGGCCTCAGAACGAGTAGCTTAGCCTGTAAGGTACCGGTCTGCGCTGTTTTCAAAGTAGGCTACATGGGTTTTTTTTCTAAGGAAATAAAAATAATGGAGTTATGAAGTTTATAAAACCGAGAAGGGGGTCAAATAATTTACACGGGTTATTTTATTATAATTTAATCGTCCGTGAATGTAGGCTAAATGTAAATAAATAAATAAAACCATTCTCGTGGCAACGCATAGAAAGCCTATCATAAAATAAGGAATCAATGATTTTGGACCTAGCCTACGGATGGCGGATTTGGCTGTAGAAAAGAAATCTGAATTTCAAACCGCGCGGGTCACACAATAACAATAACGTCTTTACATAAATAAATAATCAAACAATAACAACTTTTTCGTTGGTGATACGCTATATAAATTTATAATAAATCCATAATAAAGGTCATACTTTATCGACACAGGCATAGGCCTACGTTACCGTACGAAACAAGAACGGGCAGCACGGAAACAAAAACACATTTGGTCTTGTCAGTTAACGGTCATTAGGCCTAATGTTAAAACATGAATGTTGATGTGGTTTTAAAGAGACAGATGCTGCTCGATCTGCCGCTGACAGTCACACAATGATACTCACACACAGACACAGTCAAGTATAGATATATACTTTATTAATTCTCTCTGGTAAAATAAAATTACAAAATAATTTTAACCTCAAACGACACCTCCCTTATCTATAATGAGTATTAATAAAATCGTTATTTATACAGCAATCATAATTTCCATGACGAATGAGAAGAATGCTATTGTATAATTATAATAAATATGAGCTAAAACTGCGTTAGTAATTATTAATAGTAAAAAACCGAGCGATACAAAGCTAGTTCAGTAATAGCATACTGTACAATATTCCAAGCGGATGTAATTCAGTATTCCGGCCACAGGATGTCACTATTAGTCAGTTTTCAAAATGGTTTCTCCATTGAAATGGGGTTAGAAGTCTCTTATTCCAACACCATTATAATAGAAGCAATTCCACTAAGAAAATGACTATAATCACTCATTCTACAGTTATTTCCGTGTGAGCAGCTGTTCCACCTTGATGGGGTGGTTTTTATAATGTATCGACTGGCTTCAGAAATACTTCGAAATAATGCTTTGCTCAAATGGCTGTTAGTCTCTTGCAGACTGTAAAAAGTGCTGTCCAGCTCTCTATGATGATTCGCCATCATAACATTCTCGGGCGCTGATTATTTATAATCTCTCTAATCCCAACCACCCCGATCCCTTGTTTTGCAACACACACCTAAGTCCATTTCAGTCAACTATAGACAAAGCACTTTGGTAGCAAAGACGGAATTAGAGAAAGTGTGTGTATGAGTGTCCATGCATGTCAACATGTCTGAGTCAGTCTCTTCTCAAATGTATACATTCATGGTAACAGTAAAGGACGTACTTCTTTTGGACTACATGAAATATGGCAGTTTCGTCATAGGGTTTTTGTGCAAATGTTAGCATCTCCTCCAATTGTGATATATTCTGTGGCGTTAAGCTGCGTAATGCTCATGGTTACAGTGCATCGTATGAGTATGCGTCTATATGGTTATGTCATCACTTCTCTTCATTACGACTAATCATCCATCTCTCCACCCTGGAGGGAACTTCCCGCACCAGTGCTCTCAGCAACTGGAGCTGCTGGTGTTGGGACTGTCCTCGGTGGGCTGAGCCGGGACGGAACCAGAGCCGGAGCCGGAGCCGGAGGGGGGGTTGGCTAGAGGCAGGCTGGCAGCGGTGGGTGAGAGCACAGAGGGCACAGTGGGGCTCAGGACCTTGGCATCACGCTCACGCAGCAGTTGAATGAGTGCGGCATGCTGGGAGCTGAGCGTGGCCGACAAATGAGCGGGCAGAGCGTTAAAGCCGGCCGTCAGCTGCTCCACCCGCTGCTCCAGACTTAACATCTGCCTCTCCAGATCCTCACTGCGGTCATTCAGCTCAGACATCAGTTCATACATGACGCTCTGCATCTATGTGGAGAGAGAATGACAGTGTAGTTAGACAAAAATACTGTGGTAAAGTAAAGGGAGGGATACAGGACAGTTAAAGGACGGGAAAAAGAGTACAAACACTAAACGAGACCATGAGAAACATTAAATAGAAAGAGTAGAGATAAAGGCAACATCGTGTAGGCAATGCATTTTACTTCTTAATGTAATACATTTCTGTGGTTGGATGGGACCCAAAAATGAAAATTCTGTCATCATTTACTCACCCTCAAGTTGTTCCAAACCGGTTTGTATTATTTATTTTTTTCTGCTGAACACAAAAGAAGATATTTTGAAGAATATGGGTAACCACACAGTTGATTGACTTCATTGATTGATCATTGACTTCCATAGTATGGAGAAAAAAAATATATTATGGAAGTCAATGGGGTCAATCAACTGTTTGGTTACCGACATTTTTCAAAATATCTTCTTTTGTGTTCAGCAGAAGAAATTCATACAGGTTTGAAACAACTTGAGGGTGAGTAAATGGTGACAGTATTTATTTATCGGTGAACCATCCTTTTAAGGCCCGTTGTTCACACCAATAACAATAACTATAAATTGTATGAGAACAGGAAAGTTCACACCACAACTGAACTAACAATAACAACACAAAAGAACAATATTATTGGAAACACTTCCAGAATTATTTTTTTCCAGCTAATGAACAATATTTGACAGCCAATCAGTATCCATCTGACTTTAAAGAGCTCGAGCATTTAAAGCGGTAGACAGCATAAATAGAATGTTATCGTGTGTTGGTATAGTGATCTTTATAGTTATCGTTCTTGGTGTGAACTGGCTTTTATCCATCAGAAACTGATTGGATTGTGAACAGTGGAGACACAATCTCCAGCATGTTATATATACCATGCATGGAGTTTGCTAAAAAAAGGAGCTATTTGGTTATTGAGTAGAATTATTCAATAGTGACATCAATGGAAAAGGAAAACAGGAAGAGCAAGTTATAATATTTTGGTTTCTTCGGCTAGACAGCAATACAATTAAATGGAGACTTTTGCTTGGGTCTTCAGCTTCTCCAATTTTTCTTGAGAAAAAAAGACTTCAGTAATCCCAAAAGTTTCTCCTTTCGAGTTTCTCGATGAGATCTTAAACTGTGGACAAAATCTGCAATTTTTTCTAGGATTAAATCATCTGAACTATGAAATTCATATTCATTTTATAGCTCCAAAGTCATACTGTGTGTCAACAATTGTTTCATTTGTGTCCCGTGTTCTGTTTATTCTCAGGAATTTTAAAGACAAAGTTGATACTTGAATAAAAATGTAACAGATCTCCAACAGGTCTCCCAAGCTTTGCAAGGGCACTATCTGAGCAATAAAATTATCCTCTAGGGAAGGAGGAGAACTTACAGTATTCTATAGAAAATATACTTGAAATACTTTAATAGGAAAAACAGAACACTTCGAATTCAGATACAAATCTTCTTAATCACTATTTTTGGATTGTATTTAGAGCAAGAAAATTAGTTAAAATCCTTAAAACCTAAATACATTATAGTTACTTCAGAAGCAAAATATTAAGACTTGTTTTCAGAGAACATATCTTGAATAAAGATTATTTTTCTTGCTATATTAGTTTTTTTTCTTCTGTCTTTAGGCATGGGTCTAGTCAAATTTAGTGAGGAATAAAACTTACCAGACAGGCTCACTGAAAACAAGTGTTAATATCTTATGCAATAAGATAGCCACACATACAACATCTTCACATTTCTAAAGAGAAAATGGTGCACATTGCAGGAACACACAACACACTCTCTTTCACACACAAAATAAATAAAAACACTAGTTACATTCAGAAAAATAATGCCCAAACAGGCACACACCGCCATCACGAATTGCACACATTTTAAGTCACTCTTCAGCTTCCTGTCTCTCTCCCCTCCCACCCTCTCCCTCTCCCCGTCTCCTCGCTCCCACTGTCATCCCTGCTTTAACACTTGCTCAGGTTGCTAGGAGACACAAAGCCACAGAAACAAACGGGTCATCATGGAAACAGCTGAATGCTGAGATATATTTGGGAAAGCAAAGGTATGTGTGTGTCACCGGGCATTATGTGTTCCCGTCGACGTACTTGCAAGCCTTGGGCATTATAAAGTGTTTGTGTGTATGTAGGAATGATAAAAAAGGGAACACAATGTCATCGAAAGTGTGTGTGGGTGTCTACAGTTTCCTAACAGATGTAACGTGCATACGCGTGGGTTCTGATGTGAGACCATGTCTGTGATTTGTGTTGATGATGTGTGTGCATGGACAGTAGTCTTACCTTTGATAAGTCCACCAGAGTATTGGCTTGATCACTGAGTTTTCTCTGCTCCATTTTAACACTTCGCAATCTACAAAATAGGGATAAACACAAACACAGCCCATTAGACCCCCTCCTTATCTCACTAGCACCAAAGGCCCTGAGTTGTAAACCTCAACTAGCTAATTAACTTAATCAGCTTGTTTTCTTTATTTGTTTGTTGTTGATGAGAATCCCCCAAGATGAATACGCAATTACAGCGTAAATCATAAAAGCTTCAGACTTAAAAGGATTCCATAAGTGTAGGATTTCTTTAAAAGAAAGGCTTCGGTTTGAAAGGAGCTCTTAAAATTGGCGGCCAGGACCACAACAAAACAGTGACAGGAGGATTAGAGCTCTTAAAATGATGAGTATGTGTGTGGTGGGCACCCACACATAGACAGAGAATAGCATTAGCCATACAGCAGTCAGTTTGGCCAAACGAATAAGAAACATGGTCGCTTCAGAAGCATTACGACGATC